AGACTAAACACATCAAATACAAAGTGTTAATAAGCTTTAGATGTGTTGGTCTGCACACATTCGACATCCATATAAACCTTTATAAACCTACCTTGGATCCTACGAAGCGGTGACTTCAGGGCTTCTTTCGCCTGCCTGGTGAGCAGTGAAATATTAACTGGACGCTCCTCTGGTGAAAAGGCTCCGTTGACTGTGTTTCCAGGTGATGATGGATTTGATGGTGCTGAGCTGGTCAGGGATTGGCCAGATGGTGTTGAATTTGATTGGTTAAGTGAGGTTAAGCTGGATGGTACATAGTGTGATGTTTTTGAGATGTTTATGGATTGATTAGTTGCTATTAAAGGGGTTGGTGAATGATCAGTAGATGTTAAAGTGAGAGAGGATTGGTTTGATGTTTTTGATTGGCTCCGTGGTGTTTGGCTGGATGCTGATTGGCTAGATTTTGTAGTACTGCCTGCTGAATGGTCAGATAAGGTCTTGGCTGGTACATTGCTGACTGGTGATTGACTGGCTGGTAATGTGCTTGTTGGTAATTGTTGATTGTTGGTTGTTCTGCTTTGTGATTGGCTAGCTAAAGCTGTGGTGGTTGATGGTTGACTGGATGTTGCTGGGCTAGTTGATAATTGGCTGGCTGGTGTTGTGCTTGTTGATGATTGGCTGGTTGGTGTCTTGCTTGTTGGAGATTGGTTGGCTGGTGTGCTCCCTGGTGATTGGTTGGCTGGTGATGTGGTGGTTGATGATTGGCTGGTTGGTGTTGTGCTAGTAGGAGATTGGCTGGCTGGTGTTGTGATGGTAGGAGATTGGCTGGCTGGTGTTGTGCTGCCTGGTGATTGGTTGACTGGTGTTGTGATAGTTGGAGATTGGCTGGCTGTTGCTATGGTGGTTGGTGATTGGCTGTATGGTGTTGTGCTGCCTGATGATTGGCTGGCTGGTGTTTTCATGGTTAATGATTGGCTGGCTAATGTGCTGCTTGGTGATTGGCTGGCTGGTGTCGTGCTGCCTGGTGATTGGTTGACTGGTGTTGTGATGGTTGGAGATTGGCTGGCTGATGCTATGGTGGTTGCTGATTGACTGGCTGGTGTTGTGCTGCCTGGTGATTGATTGACTGGTGTTGTGCTGCCTGGTGATTGGCTGGCTGGTGTTTTCATTGTTGGAGATTGGCTGGCTGGTGTTGTGGTGGTTGGAGATTGGCTGGCTGGTGTTGTGGTGCCTGGTGATTGTTTGGCTGATGCTATGGTGGTTGCTGATTGGCTGGCTGGTGTTGTGCTGGCTGGGGATTGGCTGGTTTGTGTTGTGTTTCCTGGTGATTGGCTGGATGATACTCTTCTTGATGGTGTTTGACTAGATGGTGCTGTGGTTGCAGATGATTGGTCAGAGCTGAGTGTCCATGAGGAGGCTGATGTCCTCTCCGTGCTGTAGGACATCGGGTTGGACGTCAGGTTGGACGCTGCGGTCCGGCTGACCACTGAATGACTGGAGGAAGATGTGTTGGTTTCTAACGCAGCAGCTGCTGTCTGGAGGTCCTTCAAGGAGAGAAACTGAATCAACAAGTACTTCATGCAACAGTTGCAACCATTCAGTCATAAAGCCATAATCTGATCCTGCCTAGCAATGTTTCAGAGCCTCTTCCAACCAAATATATTAAATCTGGCAAAGAAAGGAAGGAGCCAATTTCAGCAAATCAACATTAAGTCCTCGTAACGCAGTCTGATTCGTTTAATTAATCCCATGAGTCGAATATAATATCAAGCAAATCTGGAAAAACAAGCTCAGCTCTCGGGTGACAGATTAATAAAGATTTGATTAAAATGTAAGACACCTAAAGCTTTTTACAATTCTGTGTTTTGTTTGGGGCAAAAATTCCTCCCAGAATTAGGCTAGTTGTTGCCAAATCGGAGTCCTGACTGGGGAGGATGGAACCGAGGCAGCACTGGGAAAAGAAGAGGCGAGAGAGAAAAGAGCTGTCATCCAGCCTTCATTAACGACTCCTCTGTGACTTCCAACTCAACTTTCCCATTCAGGTCGATAACCCCACCCTCTCCTCCGCCACCTCCCCCCTGGGTTTTTCCAATTTTGGATGATCTTTGTTGTATGAGATATGCAGTGAGAGGAGTTTGTTGATTCATTTCATTTGCAAGTTTTTACAGTTTACCATGCAGAGCTGCTGGAACTAAAACATTGATTTTGGAAGTTCTCAGAAGACTAAAACTCTGGAAGAAAAACAGAATATTTTGGCATGCAAATTGTAGTAAATTGTTGTAGATTATGACAGTCAGGTATTTGACAGAAAATACACAGTAAAAGCAGCTTTGGTTTAAATATATTGGCATTCAGAAACCATCAGTCAAACTTTCTTTCTAAAATTTGAGCCTCTCTGGATACCTGAGCTCTCAAACCAAGGCTTTCATCTCAAAGAGCAAGAACAAAGCAGATGGCAAGGGTGAAGGGTAGGGGGTTGTGAGGGGGTGAGTGACAATGAATTATTAATCACTGATCAGTATCTGGAGATATCGAGACTGAGCGGGTCAAACACAAATACGACAGAGTGTCGACCCAGATGTCACGATGCGTTGCTTGAACTATGAGTTAAAGCTCAGAGATCTGACATGAGATAGATGTGCTCTCTATACCTGCAACCTGCGACCTGTGCTACTAATTGCTTTGTTCGTTTACTAACCCCTATAGTTTGGACCGGATTCTCACGCCTCTCAGAGCCAAAGGGAAGCCGGACAAAAGGAGCGACCACATTCAGGCTGATGGAGGCTCTGATAGAGTGAAGAGTGAGACAACAGAGCAGCTACTGTATATCCCTGCTGGGACTCCCTTACATGTCTGTTTCCGAGGAATAAATGTCACCGTAGAGCAGCTTTACTTTTACATGCTGAACCGCACAGCAGGCGGGTACAATGTACATTTTTAGTTTGTGTCTTTATGTGTCATTATGGTATTGTTTTAACCTGATGTCCTGGGAAATTTCTACTTTTCTTGTACAGGAATAAACAATACATCTTTGTTTTACAATGAAAACAAAACCATAACTCTAAAATACCATCAAACAAACACATAAATGTTGTAGGTGATGAGACATTTTAGAAAATTAATTTGAATTTAAATCAAATAGTAATCTTCAAAATGCCACTAGGATATAAAAAACATGTTGGCAATCTACATCTTTCCCACATAATATATAGTGTTTACTATTATAGACACTATATAATACTGGAACACTGGGCATAAATTATTGGAATCAAAGCCATTCAGGTGACGGTTTGTTCTTTTCTCTGTGTTTTGGTGTGAGAGTTGCAGATTTTTAGGTGATCTCTGGCTGTGTGTTTGCCGCCTGAAGCAGCTCCATCAGCATCAGTGATCAATGCGGCTGCCTACCTGCCCTCCCTGGGAAGCGGTGTCCCATTTCTGCTGCTTTATCCTGCTGCTCCCGCTGCTGGGACAGAAAGAACAAGGAAAGGTTTGTTCCTGCTGCGGCTTTCCCCCTGACACCACAAACCCACCACCAACCGGGAACCAACCAAACCACCAAAAAAAACACAAACCCCCCCAAAACTGTCAATCAACCAAAAAGCATTGCCTGCTCCATGAAATACTATTGATAAAGAGCCACCTACAACAACCAGGGCTAAAACCAACAATCGTTGTAAACATCAGTTTAATCTGCAGATTATTTTCTTAATCAGTGATTAATCAGTTGCTCATTAAATGTCAGAAAATAATTTAAAATGTGGCTCGCAATTTCCTAAAGCCCATATTGACTTGATTATTTGTGCAACCAAAAGTCTAAAGCCAAAAAAATATTCTTTCACTTGACTTTTATAAAAGGACTAAAGAAAAACAGCAAATACTCACATTTGAGAAGCAGCAAGCTATTTATGGATTTTTTATTGAAAAATGGCTTAAATGGCAAATTATTAAAATAGTTGGCGATTAATCAATCATTAATATTCAGTCTTTCCATTAATTGATTAATCGGCCAATTATTTGAGCCAAACCATGTTATTTTGTAACATGGTTTGAATACTGTTATTATTATTTTAAATTATTAGAAATTATAAAATATGGGAATAAAACACATAATACCAAAAAGTAGGCTGTATAAAATAATAAAAAATATATATAAAATTATATATATAGAATATAAAAATAAAAATCCAATGTATAAGGGCAATAATGCAAATAATATCAAACTATGAAACATCTAAAATCATGATGAATTATTGAAAACAATATATAATAATAATACATTGCTATTTGAATAGAGAAAAAGAACTCACTTATTAAATTCACCCCAGTCAGAAAGGTTCACTCTCTCAACACCCCAGGACAGATGCGCTGAAAGCAAGGAAAATAAATAAATCAGTAGTCTAAATAATATTAATATAATATATTGTATAAATTACAATGAAGAAACTCAAAAAAGAAGACCATCTGAACTGAAAATTAAATCCGGATTAAGACAAGTGAGAACAGTTGAACCTGCAGAAAACACCTGACTCAATGTAAACTCTTTAAAGGAGGAATAAGAACATCTCGGACTCTCTGTATCTTCATTCTCATTCAGAAATCAAACATCTCCCGCGGTATAAACAGCAGCTCGGAGGTGACTCACCTTGATAAATTAGGATAAAATACAAAGATAATAAGTGAAAAAGCCTTTTCCAGCTACGTCTTAAATAGGGATCCATTCGTGTTTCGCGGATCCGCAGTCAGTCGGGTTTGGACAGCATCACCTGGTGAAAACCCTCCGGCTGGACTCCCGCTGCTCCCTGCGCTGCTCCATCCGGCTCATCCGCGAGCTGCCCGCCGCGCGCCTCAAGAACCGGTGCACCTGCTCATTAGCATAAAATATGCGCAGGTGGGTGCGCGGGTGGGCGGGGCCACACGCACGCACAGGTGCTCGGCTGTGGAGCTCGTGCTGATGGTCTGAGCAGGAAAACGACTATTTGCAGATTAAGTTTGATTTGCTAAAATAATCCTTAATTAAAGTTAATATAATTATAACTAACAAAGAGCTGAGTTCAGTACACAACATCACTTCGCTGTTTACAGTAAGTCTGAATGAAACCTTAGAAGCTTTTATTAAACGGAGCATTTGCACTGAGTTGTGTTTAAAGCACCTGAAGCTGACAGGTTTAACTGTGCAGTGTACTGAGCAGGAACCATGAGAACAGTGCCCCCTTGTGGTCCGCAGTCAGTGGAGCATCACAGCAGTGTGTGCAGAGAATGGACATCATCAGTGTTTGTACAATGACGGAGGGTGCAGTGTTCATCACAGTATGAACTTCATTTAATTTTCTGAATAAAAAGCAGTGAAAGACAGATTTAAACTATAAACACAACGCAAGAAACCGAGCACCAGTTTGTATGTTGTTTATTAAACATCTCCTGCAGACATGTTTTATGTATATAATTGCTCTACTTTCAATAAATGTTCCTTTCACAAGAAATGTGTTCTTAACTCTTCCCTTTTATATATTTTTAGGGCTTTTTATGCATTTATTTTGATAGGACAGGTGAAGTTAGACAGGAAAGGGGGAGAGTTGTTAAACTTTTAAATGACATCTATCTACTCCTCCTTTGATAAAACATATTTGTATTTTTTATTACTCTTAATTTAATCAGGCAGTCTCACAGAGAATAAGATCTCTTTTCCAACAGTGACCTGAGAACAATAGGCACACACAATCACACAATAACCACTAATTAATATAACAGGTGCAAGAATCACAGAAAACATCAGATAATAAAGCTTTAAAGTCTGCACAGTACCTGAAAACAGTTCTGCCAACATTACTACACTGCTGACTTCAAGTTTCCACATCACACTTGACTTCCAGAGTATTTATGATGTCACAAATCATCGTCCTTAAAATCTGATTTTCAGTGAGCTCAGAGAAACATTCAACACTCAGCAGATGAATATGAAAACATCCTTGTAGTGTCAACCCTGCACAGACATCACTTGCAAAACAGCAGCACACTGTAGGAACAAGAAGAGAAACAGTTGAGTGGAGGGGGGACTTTAAAGCTGCAGTAGGTAACTTTTATTTAACTCTTTGATATATTTGCTAAAAAAATGCCCAACCCTCAGTATTTTTTCACAATAAAAGTCGTGAAATAATTTCTGAAAGATAACTTTCGTTTGATGTCTTGATGTTTACCCCCAAAGTCCTCCCTAGCAAATTCAGATGTTTGACCTTGATATTTCTAAACCACTGGCAGTCCAGTCCAGTGTGTAGGATTTAGCACCATCTAGCTAATGGAACATTACCTTGACCATAGCACAGTACAATTAAAATGTTCCAGGACAACATAGAGTATTTCCAGGATATTTTATATTTTTCCAGGTGTGACTGGAAAACTAGTCTCTAAATTTCCAGGTTTTTCCAGGACACATGGAAACCCTGCTTTGTGTTGGATGTCCTCTTGTTGCCGCTCACACTGTGACGACCTGGTCTGAACCTGAACATGCAACCTGCTAATACCTGACAGGAAACTCAAACCTTTAATATTGCCGAGGTGACCCCAGTGTCACCAGCTGCACAGG